TTGTGTGTGGTGGATACACTGGCTGCATCCTCTCTGTGGAGGTGAACGGGATCCTGAGTTGGTGCTGGACAGGTCAGACTGATGTGGAGGGAGGTTGGTACAAGCCCAGGGTAGTTTGTAATGGGTAATGGAGAGGCAGGTGCCTGGAGCCCCAGCCTGGCTGGGCCTTGGAGCTGCTCACCTTTGGGTGCAGGTGGGGACACCTGGCTGTGCCTCTACCAACAAATGGCAGGAGATGTCCCTTGTTGGCATCGTTCCTGCTGGTTTGAATCAGCAGGATACCTGTGGGGTGTTTGGGAGGTCAGGTTCATGCTGAGCTGAGTGTTGGCTCCAACCCTGCAGCACTGCCCTGCAGACACCACGCTGGGGCTGCACCTCTGCATCTGTGCTAGCTCCCAGAAACCCAACAGTACCTCCAGGGGAGGCACATTTTTTGGGCTTTTTCCCTTCATCTAGTCCAGAGAGCAGAAAATGGCTGTCTCCTTGGGGATGCTTTTCAGCAGAACAATAAATAGCATCTCTGGGACTTCACAGCTTGTTCTTACAGCTGCATGTTCTTATAACAAAAAAAATGTGCATCTTGGGTTTTCCATACTGGCTCCCAGCGGGTAGGTGAGTTCATGCAGGATTTGTGCACTTCAGGATGGCCCCAGAAAATGTGGTTTCACAGAGACCTTCGTGTGTTTCACAGTGTTTGGCTTCTTTAGCCCTTTGTAAATATTTCACCTGTTCTTAAATTATTCATTCATTAAGAGGTTTGGATGGGAGGAGGAATCACGCTGAAAATGTGTGCAAAGGCTTAAAGCACTGCCAAGCTGAAAAGGATGTGAAACAAATAATCGGAGAAAGGACTTTTTTACCACAGCAAGCTCTGTTTAAGTACTAGGAGGGGATGGGAGATGAAGGGATGTTGCTGGGGTCTGCAGAGTTGGGATTTTTGGAGGCTGAGACCCGTAGCAGGTTGTGGGCTGAGGGATCTGGCACTGAGGGGCTACAGGGCACCTGCAGACCTGAAGGTTCTTGGTTGTGTTGGTCCTGCTTATAGCAATCAATGAAACATAAAAATATCTGTTCTCCAGTTTATTAGTAACCTATGAGTTTTGCATAATAATAAATTTGGAGCTGGGTCTTAAATCTGTCTCCCACAAACAGTGAGCATCTTGCTGTACCAAACTCAGAACTTCTCCTTTCACTCCACCTGCCTCTAAGCAGTGAGAAGTGAAGGCTGAATGTTGTTCCTGAAGGGAGGGGTGTTTTGGGGTTATGTTTGAAGGGGTAACATGTGGCAGGGGCACACATTTTTATAGTGCCCTGATTCTGGGACAGCCAAACGTCATCAGGCTGTTAATTAAAGTCTGTCAGTGCCTTGACAAGCAGAGGTGGTGGGGTCTCTCAGGGAGAGCCACGTGCTTTGAGCTGTTGTGTGGTGCTTTGTGGGGAAGGAAGGGGAACCTCCATGGGTTTGAAATGGGAAACAGGCAGAGACAAGCAGGATGTGGAGGCCTTGGGGGTGGGTGAACACTTTGCAATGGGGAAACTGAGGCAGAGCAAGGGTAAGTCAGTACAGCAGGTTGGGGAGAGTCAGAGCTTGGACCAGTGCCTCGTCCCTGAGAGGTCTTTGCCCTTGGCTCCCCCTTGCCAGTGGTGCTATCCCAGCCTTGACACAATGCCTCCAGCTGTGGCTGAGTACCCTGGAGAGGGACAGCTCTGGGTTCATCCACCCCTGTTCATCCCTGTGTGTTCACAAAAGCTCTCGGTAAGGTGTTTTTGAAGGTTACCTTCAAAAGCAAAACATTTATTTGAGAAAACTGAATAAAGGCTCCAAAAACCCAGGCTCTGGCCAGGAGCCAGGACAATGTTCCCTGGTTTTCTTCTGTAGTGCTCATCTTTGCTGTGTTCCCAGAGTCCAGGGCAGATGTTCGTTATCGTTCTGGCTGAGGGCCGTTCTCGCCTTCCCGGACCCGGAGGCTGTTGGGACAACAAAGTGTCTTTAAATCAGGCCTCGGGTTTTCATAGTCTGGTACATCATCATGTCAGACCTTGCCGTGCAGGCGATGAATTTCAGTGCTGCTGTCTGATTCTCCTCCTCTGCCCGACCTCAGGGGCTTCAGGGCATTTTGGGGTTGCGTCAGCCAAGCGGCTGTGCGAGTCGAGCTGTGCGCAGTAGGGATGGGGAGGGACCACGTGTGATGCTGCTCCTCTGCTGGAGACCACCATCCCTCCCCAGAGATCTCTGGGGTGGTTTGGGGGAGGCAGGGCCCACAGGAAAACAGCCCTCTGAGGAGACATCTGTGTCTGCCCCGTTGTGCCTTACCGCACGCTCGGGGGTGATTTCGGCTCCCCCACGGACGGGCTCAGCGCTGCGCCCCCGCTGCTGGCAGAACCAGCCTCCCAACAAAAACCTGCTTTTTCTGGTCTTGTGGTGGATTATTGCAGCGTTTCTCGCTCTCCCAGGAAACCAGTGTTGTAGAGCTGGTGGTGTCTGCATGGCAGTCGCTGAGTTCAGCTGCTGAGGCTGAGCTGCCTCCAGGTTTGGACTTGGGGCAATTTTGATGAGTGAAGACCTGCACAAAAAAAAAAAGAGAGGCACTGGGAGGTTGCTGTGTGTGTTTTTGGAAAGCATATGGCTTTGCTGGATGGAGAGGGCAGGAGTGGGGCCCCATGGCATGCTCTCCAGCAGGGTGGCAGCACTTGGAATGGGAATTTGACTTGTAGCACCCATGACTTTCCAGCTAAAGGAGTTCAGCTCTTGGCTGGAGCGTCGGGATGGACTCACACAGCCAGTGGTGGCTCTGGCTGTGATGCTCCTGGAGCACAAGGGTGGTCTCCACACATTGCCTCCACGTGGGACCTGCCCTCTCACTGCCTCCAGTGCCCTTACAATGGATACCACACTCATTCTCGTTTCTTAATCAAGTCTGGCAGGTCTAATGGCACTGCACATAATGAGCTTTGAAAGGGAAATTTGTTTTGATGTATGTTTGACAAACTCCAAAGTGCTTTTTGCTCAACAAGTTTTCGTGGCATCTGTTGGCAGGGAGAAGCCCAAGTGCCCAAATCGATAAGGTTCTGCTTGGATAATTGAGCTGGGAATTTGGTTCATTATATGAAGTGGCTGCTGAAGTGGATAATTGCAGATCTTGAGGTGTTTGTCCTATTTGCTAGTTTGGATTGAAGAAAATTTAGGTGCAATTTCACAGGTGTATAGGGACAAAATGACTTCTGTGGAGATCCTGTGATAGAGTAACAGAGCTAAATAACTCATATTTCTATGCATGGTGGAAGAAAATGGGTGGCAAGGAAAAGCACTGGGAGCTGCTTCACATGCTCCTGCATGGTCTCTTTTTGGGGAGAGTGGGATCCTTCCCACTTGGCTTGTAGCATTCCTTGAAAAGTCAGGTATAGTTGTGTTTTGATGTTCATTTCATGTGTTTTGTGAATTGCCTTCTGGCTCTGCTGCAGGGCAGTGGTGAGTGTGCCCAGGAAGGATGGACACTGGGAGCCTGTACAGTGCTGCTGTGATGGGTGAGACCTTACAGCTTGTGTCTCCAAAGATACCCTGAGCTCTTCAGTGTGCTCTGATTTCAGCAGGTTACTTACATACCCATCAGCTCACCTTTAGGAGGTCACTGGGTTTTTGATGTGGTTCAATCCAGGCACCTTTTCCATTGGATTGGGGCACAAGTGTGCAAGATCAGTGTTCAGCAATCTGAAATCCTTGTGCTGGTACAGACCATTATGTTGGCTCTTCTTGACATAATTTGAGCCTTGTTTAAGTCATTTTCTTGGGATGGGGACCTGCCCTCTCCCCTCTCGTGAAGTGCCCTGAATACTCATCTCAGGGAATAACAAACACCAGCAGTTGCATAAAGCCCCCGGTGCTTTATGCACTATTTCTGCAAATAATCCTTGTTTATAATTCACTCTTGGCAGAAAAAGACTTTAAATTATTAAGGCACTAAATATTTTGCAGCGAAAGAGCGGAGATAAAGCTCTTGGCAGAAACAAATTGCCGGAGAGAGGTTGTTCTCTTCAGTGTGTTTGGGGCTTTAAAGTATTATGAGACATAACACACAGGGGGGCACTGGGAATTCACCACTTGATCAAAAGATTTGCTTCTCTCTTAAAACAAGCAGCTACTCAGTGCTGGATTTTCTGAACCCCTGTAAATGCAGAGTGTCCCCAAAGCACATGTTTGGTCCCCAGAGCTGTCCCTGCTCACCACAGGTGAGGGTGACCTGTTGTGGTGGAGCTGGTGGAGGTCTCTGTCCAGTTGTCAAAGCTGTTTTCATGTGCTCAGTGCTCCCCTGAGGGCAGATTTTGGGGAATTCTGTATCCCTTCCTCAGGAGTGGGAGATGCTGGTGCCAGTTGGTCGTGTTGGTGTGTGTCCTGTGCTGTAATGACCAGCCTGCTCGTAAATCAGAGGAGTTCCAGGGGTGTGAAATGGGGAATCATATCGTTGATGATTTGTCTACCTGCTGCTGATTTTGTTCTGATATTACACAGCTAGTGCCTGTCAGCTCCTGGAGTCATGGAACCAGACAGCATTGAGGGTGTATTAACAGGTGTTAATACTGCTCCTTATAGATGTGTTTTAGGTGGGTAATCTTCTAGCTCTTCTTTGGAGAGCAATTTGAAGCATGAACTGTGAGGTTTCAAACCTTAGGGTACTCCCCCTATTTTTGTTATCATCTCAACATTTTAAAGCAAAAATCACTCTTAGTGACAATGTTTCCAAGCTGGGGTACACAATGGGAGTGCTGAGACACTGGCACAGGTTGCCCAGAGAAGCTGTGGGTGCCCCATCCCTGGAGGTGTTCCAGGCCAGGTTGGATGGGGCTTGGAGCAACCTGGGCTGGTGGAAGGTGTCCCTGCTTGGAACGAGATGAGCTTTAAGGTCCTTCCA